TGTCATTAAAGACAAGAAGAGTAAAGAGTTTCAAGATTCTCCTAAACTCTACAAAATCCCCACCTCCAAAATCTCATAGGAGAGGCTGTCAAAAAAATGTCAAAATAGTGAATGTCTGGTTTGATTTCCTCTTGCTTTGTAAAACCTTCCCTTTGACCTGTAATTTATACTTTAAATTAAAGTAAATTAAAATTAATTCTTAATTTAAAGCCTTATAACTCTGAAGGCAAATAAAGATTGCAAAACTAAAATGAGGAATCATGACCTAAGAAGGTGTGGGTTTTCCTCTGACCATAGAGGAGCTGAGAAAATCATTCTGTTAAAACTTCTTATCAGAGGATTTGATTCAACTTTGGGTGAGAGGAAAGCCTCAAATATCAACAGCTTTAGAAATACAGAAATTTACTTCTCTGTCTGTTGGTCAAGAAGATCCAGGGAAGATATGGAGTTCCACAGTGCTATTGATCCAGGCTCCACTGGGCGTGACTTTCTTTCCCAAGATCATATCATTATCAAATATGGCAGCAGGTGTGGGAAGTGGAGACAAAGGGCACATTCCCTCCCTTTAAGGACACATCTCAGAAGTTCCAAGCATCACTTACACATATGTCCCATTATACAGTTTTTAGTCACATGACCACACCTAGCTAGAAGGGAAACTAGAAAATATAGTCCTTATTTTGAGCTGTTTTGCTCCAAGCTACAAATCTAGGGTTCTATTACTAAAAATGAAAGAAGAAAAGAAGAGCTATTGGACTAAAACTAGCAGCTTATGACAGCAGTTTGTCATTCTCTCTTAAATTCTATATAAACTCTATATACCATAATAGAGTCCAAACACCTTAAGATTACCATTATCCAAATAAAAACAGTCCTCTGTCTAGAGTGGTCTTTCTTATTCTTCCTAGGATGCAATACTTTCTGTGCCAAAAGTGAGAAAATCCTGGGCAAAATGGGGTGAGGTTTGCTACAGGGCAAGATTTCCAGATTTGAATGGAATAGGTCAATTTCATAAGTCATTTCAATCAGGCAACAGATTTGTACTATTAATGGAGAAGTTAATAAAAAAAAAAGACTCACCCCCTACACCGCCAAAAAAAGAACTAGCTGTGTGCCACTCTACCTTTAACATAATCAAAAATTTTATTTTCTCATTTTCAACAATGCTGCCACTCCTAAAATCAAGTTTGGAATGACTATTTGAAATAAGTCTTCAAAACCTAAAGCTGATTTATGTGAATATTCTCTGTGGTAGAAAATCTCCATCTTTGCCATCTTTGCCAGCAGATTTCATTTCTCCAAATATCCAAGACTCATTTGGAGGCAAGTCTGGTAAAGAAGGTTAGGCAGGAAAATACTCTGACTCTAACTCCAAAATATGTTTTAGGAAATATTTACACATTGACAATATTGTTGAAATAAGACTTAAGTCTCCTCACAAGACTACTTCGAAAGCAAATAATTGCAAAGAAAATGACCTCCTGCTTTACTGGCATAACTCCATATATTTTTTAAAAATCAATGTAGTTCAATTAATACATAACAAAAGACTGCATTATATTTAATTATCTTGAAAATAAGATTTTCTCAAGCATATCTGTATCTAAAACTTTTTTAAAAGGCATTTTAATTTTTAGTAAACTTGCATTATTTTTAAATCGTGATTCAAAGCCAATGTTGTACAAGAGATGGTTTCCATTACAGTTCTGGGCTTGTCCTTAACTACAAGCCAAAGAGAGCCCAGTGAGTGGGGAAGGTCATTTTTACACCTGCACAATCTGCGACAGAGTAGGCTCCTCTTTAACCACAGAGAGAGGAGAGGCCAAGGACCTGCTCCAACTTAATCTTTGCTTGTCAAATCTGGACCATATTTTATTTCACAGAATCAGAAAAAATATCTCAAAACACTTGCTGTAGGGAAGACTTCCAGATTTGAGTGGAATAGGGCAATTTCATAGGACACTTTAATCAGGCAACAGATTTGTACTGTTAATGGAGAAGTTAATAAAAACAAGTACCCCAATAAAAAACTAGTTGTGAGCTGGCATTTTAGACCCTTTGGAGCTGAAGAGTTTGTTATCTTCATTGATGTGTAGCCAAAGAAAAATAATTTTACTACCGAGAAAAGAAAATGCATTTTACCAACTTCATCATATATGAATACAAACTTCTAGAGTGAAAAACCTAAGAAACTAATAAGCAACTATTTGGCAAAGGGAGAAGAGGCAACATTCAGGTCTTGAAAGATTTTGCTCTCAAACTAAATTTCATCTTGTCCCCTGCTTTACATAATACATATTTGATTCTGATTAGATTTTTCTATTTGCCACAAAAAATGAAGGCCTTTGATCTCACTTCATTACTTTTCTGATGAACTCTTATCTACCTTATAAATGGAGGTAATTTTTTGTTTCAGTTTGGTTTTTATTGGAGCCAGTGTGGTGGATGCTAGCAGGATAGCAACTTCCGGCAACCACTTTTGTGCTTTCTACCTTTGCTTAGCCACTTGTGTCTACCATAACCCTAATCAAGATGTTTTCTCCCATTTTTCACATCTCTTCACATAAAGTATATATAAGAATAATTGTCTTTGTATAGCAGTTTGTAATTTCCAAAATGCATTCTAAATCAACATACCATTTTATGCTCCCAATAACTCTACTAAGTTGCTATTAGTTTACCTATTTTACAGACAAGGAAACTGAGATATACAGTGTTTAAGCCTCTCACCAAAGATCTCACAGCGAGGAAGGGGCTAAAAATTCCGTTCTTCTGAGCCTACATTCAACATTGCTTTCCAATACCAAAGACTCTGTTGAAAAGTTATCAGAATTCCTTCAGGCTGCTTATCAAGGAAAAAACTGAAACCTGCTTTATATTGTTCATTCTGTTACTGTGAGAGAGATAAACTAAATATTGATGTTCTTCAGCAAAGATCAGCCAGAGTCTAAGAATGAACACCCACATGCATGCATACACATACACCAAGCAAGGGGCAGCAGATAGTTGATTCTCTTAGAGTAATATATGATTAAGCCTGTAGATCCTCTCCACAGAAAAAGGCATGTGCCTATATGAAAACATTTCTGGATAATTTCTGGGAATTCTCTAAGTCTTCTTAGCTCATCTGTGTACAGCTGTAGATAGAATCCCTATTGCAGTGAAAACTTTTCGTTCCTATGGACACCTAAATCTAATCTATTTTACCAACGAAACAGGCATTTTTCTCATTCTCCTTTTACTTGGTTGCTCAAAAACTTTAGACTCTGCTTTCCATTCCTTCACTCATGAAACATTTTCCTTTGGCTTGTGTGAGGGCCCAGTAAGTTTCCCTCCTATTTATCCGGCTATCCCAGAGTTTCCTTCACCAGCATATTCTTTCTACCTGGTCCTTGGATGTTGGGAGGCTCTCAAGGTTTGACCGTAAGATCTTGTCAATTTTTAATGATTCCTTAGATTATATCAAATGCCTGTGACTTGAATCATCAGAGTAAATAGCTGACTCCTAAATTCCCAGTAAATATATCTCCAGCCCAGGCCATTTTTGTGCATGTCAACTTCATAATCAATATTCCCTTGCAGGTGTCAAAGACATATCAATCTGTATCTGTTCAAAATACAACTCATGTGTTGTTCCTACAATGTAGTTCCTCATTTCTATTCGATCTCAGTGACTGGCATCAGATTCCTTCTAGTTTCACAGAGCAGACACCTGGTAGTAGTAACGGTGTGAAACAACTGTTTATCATGGCCCTTGATCTAATCCATTTAGAAATCCTGCCTGAATATTTCTATCACTATTGCCACTGACCTCACCCAAGTGGCCATGATGACTGGTGGGCAATAGCAATAACTTCCTAATTGATTTCCCCATATCCATTTTTGATCACTTCACATTCATTATTTAAGTTATGAAGGGAGTTTTGGAAAATGTGTTCTTCCTTTATGAAAGAGAGCTTTAGAAAATGCAGTTGATCATTCCAGCTTCCTATGTAAGGCACTTGAGTCATTCACTGATATCCTTAGGACAAAAAGTAGTATCTTTATTATGATCTTAAATGTGTCATGCACTATTAGCCTTACTCATCACCTTTCTTACTCTTCACTGTATGCTATCCCATCACAATACCGCTCTTTCTGAATTTGTCGTATGCCTTCCTTTGCTCAGGTCTCTTGGACAGTCGGTTGATCCCTTCTGCCTGGAATGCTCTTTCCTCCCCTTACCTTCAACATTCTCCTAGTTATCATCTATTCAACCTTCAGCTCCCAGTTCAAATGTTATTCCCTTTGAAAAGCCCTCCCTGATTCCCCACATGTTGATTAGTCTCTCTGCAATCCTTACGTCTTTGTCTTGCTCTTTCTAGTATTCATCATGGTTTATAACTATGGATTTGTATACTTGTGTGATGATGCTCTTCCTTCCACACTGATATGAAAGCTCCATGTGGAAAGAGACCCTATCTTCTTTACACTGAGGAATAATTAATTAACCTGCAGAAAGTGTACATCTTCATAGGCGTACAGTTCAAGATTCTATGGGCATTCTAATCAGGATATAGAACATTTCCATCAACCCAAAAAGTACTTCTACACTCCCCATTAGTCAACCCCGTGAACCTCTAGGGTTGATTCTCACTCTGATTTCTACCACCATAGATTAGCTTCTTCTGTTCTTGAATTTTTTTTATCAATGGAATCACATAGTATGTATTCTTTTTTTGGTCTGGCTTTTTTCATTCAACATATGTCCGTGAGATTCACTCATGTTGTGTTTATCAGTAGTTTGTTCTTGGTATTGATGAATTCATTGTGTGAATCTATCACAATTTGTTTGTTTAATCTTCTGTTAATGTACATTTAACTTGTTTTTTGTTTTTTACTGTTATGACTAAGGCTGCTTTAAACACTATACAAGTCTTTTAATGGACATAAGTTTTTTAGGACACAGAAGAGTGAAGACTGAGATGTAATTATTTTCTTTTATTTTGTTTATTTTTCAGAGATTATAAGCCATTTCTCCATGGCTAGAATTCAGTTGATCGGGGACTCAACCTATTTCTAATGGGTAAATACTTAGGAATAGACTTCTGGGGTTGTAAAATAAGCATATGTTTAACTTTATAAGAAACTCTCACACAGTTTTCAAAGTCTTTGAACTATTTTACTATCTTACCAGCAGTGTATAAGAAGTTCCTTCTTGTGTCTTTTTTTCTCCAATTGTTTTTGAGATTTTCTCTTTATTTTGATTTTTAATAATTTAATTATGACATCTCTTAGTATGGTTTTCTTGATATTTATCCTGATTAAGATTCATTGAGTTATTGGATTTATACATTATTACTTTCATCAAACTTGGAAAATTTTTCAGTCATTATTTCTTCAAGTAATTTTTTGCCCTATTTTCTTTTTCCTTTATTTCTGGGACTTCATGGCTTATGGTATCCCTAAAGATTTGTTTGCCTGTGTTTATTTTCAATGTTTTCTCTTTATTCTAGTTACTTTTTAATTGATATATCCTAAAGTTTACTGATGCTTTTTCCTCCTATCCAATTTAATGTTAATTCCACCCCATAAAATGATGATAGATGTTTTATTGTTTATTTGTAACTTTTCATTTAATTATTTTTGAGAACTTCTATTTCTCTCCTGAACTATTCCATATTTTCACCATTACATCTCCTTTTTTCTGTAAACCCTTTTACATTTTTGTAATAGTTGTGTTAGGGTACTTCTACTAATTCAGATAACTGGCCCCTCTGTTAGTCTTCTATTGAGTGTATTTACTTTTGATTATATACCACATTTTCTTGCTTTCTCACATATAGAAACTCACATGTAGTTTTTAGGACATGAAACAGTGAAGACTGACATATAATTATTTTCTTTTATTTTGCTTATTTTTCAGAGATTATAAACCATTTCTCTATGGCCAAAATTAAGTTGATCTGAAACTGAACCTTGGCTTTCATTAGACTGAGCTCATCTGCGATTAGCCCAACTTTCAATCTCGCATAGCAAGATTAACTGTTTGACCTTGTCAATATTAAGCTAGAATAAAGCTGGGTTATAGTTTCAAAGACTTTTAATTCTCCTTTAATTCAGCTTAAGCAGAGGCCTAGAATTCAAGCCTCCAGAACGTGCAGAAGTTTGCAACTTCTCTCTGATTTCCAGATCTTCTCCCACTGCCACTTTTCTGGTAAAATTTGTGATGGGAAAATTTTTTCAGGTCAAACCATTTTTGTTGGGATCTCTGTCTCTTTTGGATTCCAACCTGTCCCTAGCCCATATTACTGTCTAAGAATCAGCTAATTTCCTTTCATTACTGCAATGTCTGTGTGCATATGTCAAGCTAATTCTTCCATTCTCTCCACTCAAATCAGGAAACTGCCTTATGGTATAGAAGCTGTCATGGTTTTCTGCTCATCTGTGAAACTTTCATTTCCTTCTGGAATTCAGTTTATCGGGGCTTCCTTTGTTTATTGCTCTTTGCTAGTCCCATAGAAAATATTGTTTTTTATTTCTGTCTGTGGGTTTCTTGCATGTGGGTTTCATCACGGTGAAGGTCCTTTGCATCTTTCTACATCTCAGCTGGCAGTGAAACACCAAGATCATGTCTGTTATGCTCACCATTAAATCTCTAGTGATGGAAACAAAGAAATCTCTCTAAAATATATGTAGACCGTAAATTTAAATAGAATGAAGATGATTCACGTATGTGGAACAAATAAAGTGTGATATTCGCAGTATATGGGATAAAATAATAGATGGTAGTCCAAGACCAAAATATTGTTAAGGGTGTTTTAAACAAGGGCATTGTCCTTGAAAAGTCAAATGATGCTTGGTGGTAGCATTCATGACCAGGCACTATTTCTAGATCAGAACAAGTATGTAGTTAGAGGAATTCTCTCAGGTGACAACATTAGATAGATAAAAAATTTAGGCCTTGAGAAAAATGGCAATAACTCTTGAATCCAGCATCCTAATGAAGGAAGACCACAAGGGAAACATTTCTTATGAAGAATTTACCTGCCCAATGGCTCAAAGCTCTCTGCTAACATGGCCTTTTAGATGAAAGGTTGTGTTATCCACAACTAGGTTGTTGTTCTTTGTTTTTTGTTTTGCTTAAGTCCCAGATCCTCTGTATCTATCCCATTTACTTGGAAATCTGAAACTTTTGGGATCTTACCAATAGTTTGAGAGGTGATTGAGCCTGCACGTGAAGTGCAAGTGTCCACAGGCTGTGTGGAAGGAAAATAGGTAAAGTCTAGGAATCAAGCCAAAGCTGGGATCTTGCCATCCACATGGAAAAAGAGTTAACCTACTGGAAGCAATGCATGGAATAATACTCTTTATTCCAAAACTTCTCAGGTCTCCTAATCTAGAAAGCACATGCAGATTAAAATGATAGAAGATATTCAGTCTTTCCATTACATATTATGCCCCACTATTTTTATTAAATTAAAACTAAGTAATTTTTTTAAAAATACTTGCTAGCAACAAATGGTATAGAATCTATCTGGATGCCATCAAGTACTGTTCAAGTGCCCCTTTATCTCCCACATACAGAGTGTGCCACATGTCCTAATCCCTGAAGAAAATTATTAATGATTCTGAGCCAGCTGGGGGTCAAATAGCCTTAATCAGGTCCATTTTCCACTGGTGCCAATGATACTACTCTAATACTAAAATGCTTATATCAATAACATTGCATTGAAGTTGATGTTGCTATGCTGAAATTGGCATCATCTTATTGGCATCAAGCCTATTGGCCTAGCTCCTCTATGGGCAATCATTATTGCATCTAAAGGATTTATTCAATGTCTGTTTCAGTGCATTTCTCTCCTGGACCTGCTTTTTAACATCCGACAATACATGATAAGCAGTAGTGGCAGCCAAAGACCCAGAAGTGAAATTAACTTTCCATAAGGATATGTGTATGTGGAGAAAAAATATGTTTGTTGCAAAGAGGTGATTGAACAGAAAATTGTGAAAGAAATGAGGTCAAAGAAAATGATCTCCTCTTTCAACAGGCCCAGAAAGTTTTCCCTGAAGTAGGAAGATGTCAGAAACTCTAAAGAAAGAAAAGATAGGATATGAAACATATGATGATTATGTGTGAGATTCAAAGGTTATGTTTCACAAAATATGCAAAATGGCTGGTTCTAGGACTGGGACAGGAAATATACAAGATGAGCCTTGAACATCTCATAGTGCCAGACAGTAAGGAAGTTTTCAAAACACAAAACAGAATTAAAAAACACATTGGTGGGGGTATGTCAAGAGGTCATTGGAGCCAACTGAAGAAACTCCCAGTGACTAAAGCTGGAAAAATTTGTGCAAGAAAATAAATAAAGTAGTATTATAACTCAAAGTACAAAATAGATATCCATGCCATTTATAAATATCCTAATAAATATCCATGATATATTACATAAATAAATGATTAAATAAATTAATAACTGGGAAAAAAGAGACAATCTCCCATGCAGAAGTCATATACACCATATACAAAAGTTAACTCAAAATAGATTATAAACCTAAAGGTTAAACATGAAGCTATAAAACATCTGAAAAAAATAAGATATATGTACAATCTTATGTTAGATAAAGGTTTTGTAAGACACAAAAATCACAAAGTATAAAAAAATTGGATTTTATCAAAAGTAAATTTTGTTCTCTAAAAGACACTGTTACCAAATAAAATGGCAAGACACAAACTATGAAACAATATTAACAAAATATATATTTGATAAAGAAAATCTTTGTATCCAAAATATGCAAAAACTACTAAAACCCAAGAATAAGACAAATAACCTGACTTTTAAAAATGGACAAAAAAATTTGAACAGACATTTCAGCAAAGGAAGTACAAAAATTGCAAATAAGAGTCTGAAAATATGTTCAACACCATTATTCATTAGGAAAAGTCAAATTAAACCCACAATTAGATACTAGTACACAACTTCTAGAAGGGCTAACATTAAATAGATTAAATTACTACATGTTAGTAAGGATGTGGAACAACTGCAATGCTCATATACTGCTGATAGGAATATAAAACTATACAACCTCTTTGGGAAACAACTAGGCAGTTGCTCATAAAGTTGACATACATTTACCATATGACCCAACAATTCTACTCTTTGGTATTTACCCAAGTGAAATGAAAACACATCGGTCATGAGGATTTGCTGTACAGGTTATTTCATCACCTGGGTATTAAGCCTAGTACCCATTAGTTATTTTTCTTGTTTCTCTCTCTTCTCTCACCCTCCACCCTCCACCCTCCAAAAGGCCTGTGCGTGTTGTCCCCACTATGTGCCCATGTGTTCTCATCATTTAGCTACCACTTATAAGTGAGAACATGTGGTATTTTGTTTTCTGTTCCTTTGTTAGTTTGCTAAGGATAATGGCCTCCAGCTCCATCCAAGTCCCTGCAAAGGACATGATCTTGTTCTTTTTTATGGCTGTATAGTTTTTCACAGTGTATATGTACCACATTTTCTTTATCCAGTCTATTGTTGATAAGCTTGTCGGTTGATTCCATGTCTTTGCTATTGTGAACAGTGTTGCAATGAACATATGCATGCACGTGTCTTTATTACAGAATGACTTATATTCCTTTGGGTATATACCCAGTAATGGGATTGCTGGGTCAAATGGTATTTATGTTTTAAGGTCTTTGAGCAATTACTACACTGTCTTCCACAATGGCTGAACTAATTTAACAACAAACCTACTTCGCACCCCTGAACTTAAAAGTAAAAAAAAGAAAATATAATAATAAAGAAGGAGATAAATACAGTCACTCAGAAATAACTGTTGTGAACATTTTTGGAATATCTATGAATCAATCATCTTTTTATCTATCTTGTATGTGTGCTAGTGAATCTATCTATATTTGAAATCATATAATGCAAACTGTTTTGAAATTTAATTTTAACTCTCCAGCACATTAAGAACATCTTTTGTTCTTAATAAATGCATGTCTACAACAGAATCTTTAATGGCTGTAAAATGTTCCATTGTATGATTGAATTACAGTTTAATCAATCTAGTATAGCT